AGAAAAACCATGCAAAAATTATTGAAGACTACGGGAGACTTTTGTTGGCGTCGTTGACCTCGCTATTGATATGCCAGAATACGTGCAAAAAACGAAACCACGGAAGCCTATTGAAAAAATGATTACCAGAAACGGTAGCCCCGTTGGCGATGGCCTGCTCGGTGTCGGTGAGCCACTCCTTGAGCAGCGGACGCAGCTTGCACATGTTCTTGAAGCTCAGGTTCATCGCCTCGAAGCGCGAGATGGTCGTCTGGGAGAAGTCGGTGCCGTAGCGACGGCCGAGGGCCTGGCCGACGTCGCCTTGGGTGAAACCTGAAACCAGGGTTGTTTAATTGTCCCAGCAGCCTTAAAAGGTCGCGTTTTTGCATTATTTTAAAGGGAGCGTGCCTAGTAAAAGGTGTACTAAAAACCGGGAACCAACGCATTTTAATGCATGCATTTAAAAAACCTATCGCCACCTTTTGACACTTTTTTAGTACATTTTGCTCCTCCCTACAGTACTTACGTTCACAGTCCTGTAAATGGAACTTTAATCCCGATCCCCATTCCATTTGGCATTTTGCGAGAAAGTTGTTGTTTTGTCATCTACTAAACCCACCCTCCCTTACGTTCAAAAGGTCATTTATGCAAGGATTTCATAAAAACGGCTCAGGCGGGTTACGGTAGCGGAAATTCTGAATTCAAGAAAATGCGATTATGCCAAGGAAACAAATCAAGCTACCGCATTTGATGCGCTGCTTCTTGAAGAGGGCCGCGAACTGCTCGAGGTCCTCGTACTCGATGCGCTCGTCGCGGCTCATCGTCTCGAGGGAGGACGACCGGACGGTGCCGGATTGGCCGGTGGAGCCCTGGAACAAGCAATATTAGCATAGAAAATCGGGAAAGGATAAAATACGCTTTAATTAGTGTACAGGGTGACCCAAGAAAATCGGTCCCCTCTAGCGGGCCGCAATCATGTCCGATTTTGACGATTTAGGTATCTATCGAAAGCTCTCGGAAAGGCGAGAAAACAAGGACTTTTCGTTTTCAAAACAGCCATTTTAATTCACGAATTTTAGGACAAAAATCCATGAAAACGGCAGGCTTTATGAAAACTCAGCATGTTAGTTGCTTGCCAAAGCAAACAGGACGATGGATTTTACTGTTTTTTTAAGACATCTTTGAATATCGGGCGGGCTAAGAAAATTTGTAAATGAAAAACGTTTGTTGTTCGCCTTTCCGAGAGCTTTCGAATGGTGTAAAAATCTTTCGGATCCGACCTTTCTCCGGACCGCCACAGGGCAGAATCTTGGTTTGAAAAGCTTAAAAAAATCGAGTATTTGGCTCCCAGCTTTCGGGAAATATTCTTAGTAGTAATAGTGTATGCGGAATCAACAAGATTTGGGCGTAACTGTTAACTACAAAAACCTAAAGTCAGAAACGCTTGAAAGGTGCAGTGATCCCCTAGAAAACCAAAACGTTGCTACCCAAAACCCCTACCACTATGCTCGGGTCTACCCCATCCGGCTCCAACACCCAGATCGGAATCGCAGTAATCGACATGTCGTCGAAGAGTCCATGAAGGAACACCTGGACTTCCATGGCCCTTTAGAATGCCTTTAGAGCACCTTTGGAATACCCTACCAATAGAGCAGTACGGTCCAAGTGGTATCCTTTACCCCCTTCCGTTCCTTATTTATACTCAAAAACACCCCGGGCCAGGCCCCGCCCTACAGTCTCTAAGCTCCCCTATATTTAACCCGTTCTGAGCAGCGTCACGGAAAAGCTGGGGCTACAGTATGCGGATTCACAGTGGGACCTGCGGATTTATAAATACCAACCAACAGTTTTTCCCATTTTGGCCGAGATTAGCCCATGCAGGCGCGCATAACTGCGGATTTGAAGTCAAAGAGTCACGGATTTTCAGCGACCCTGGCGCACATATTTTCGTGACAAAGCGATGATATGGACTACGGTAGGTTGTGCTCGTACTTTTTGCCTACAAGGAGAGATCAAGCAGCTACGGTATCTCAAAAAACCGTCAGTTTTAAAAGCGTTATACCAGGCACTAGAAACTAAAAAACCGGCTTTGATAATTATAAAATAAAGCCACAACTAGTTAAGCCACATGAAATTTTTTGAAATTTAATAAAAAGGTAAGGAAGATTTAAATGCTGCACTGTTTTTGTGCCGATTTTTGGCAAAAATTTACAGGGCCTATTTAAGCAATATTTTCCCGTTATTTACCTCTGTGGAAAATTATACCAATGTAACCAACGAGCTAACGCGCTCAAAACTTCTTCGTCTTAGACCTTTAAAAACCAGGGCTTAAACCCGTGGATTTTATTATGCAAATTTTTATAATTGCTGCAATCCAATAACAGCGACAGAACCCACTGATCTGAATTAAAATTCGTCTAGTGCAAAAATTCCGCTTATGCAGCTCCCGGATCAGATCCTTTAATTGTCGAAAAATTTCTCTAGTGGCCGATACCTCATAATCAGGATACGACTCCAATATCATAGTCAGGGTGTGTCGTATGCCGTGTGCATTGAGTCGGTTTTTATGGCCAGCCGGGAGCGAGAGTAGCACTTTTCGAATTGAATGGAATGCGGTGGGATTCGCTTGGGTAGAGTTGGCGCACCGGGTGGTGGTGTTGGGTAAATCGCAAAGGGGACACGGGCGGAATAGCTGTCTGTTTGTGTGTGTCTCTCTCTCTCGCTCTTTCCTCTATCGCCTACTTTCATGCTCGCAGCATTGGTTGGACCTGTGGAATGACGGGGGGACAGAGCGACTACGCGATGCACCTATGGACGCATGAGGATGACCTCCAGCTGCTCCCCAGGGCGATCGAGGTCGTTTTGACCATCAGCTGGCGGGCTCGTAGGCAAATTTGTTGACTACCCACACACACACACACAAGTGCGTTCGAAAGCGGAAAACAAGGCCCCGGGGTTGGGAAATTGGGATTGAAATCGAGATTTGAATTTGGCTTCCAAGCCTTTTCAAAACATATATTTTGTGGATTGTTGGGCGAGATTTTTCCACGGTTTTCCATTTTTCCCACAGCTGCCGAAGTTTAAAAAATGCAGAAAGTAACTGTTCCGGAAAGGTTCCATTTACGACATTTACAAAACCGCAAAAAACCGGACCCTGATTTTAGAATATACTGGCACATTGAAACTTTCAACTCCCTCAAATTAACCTTTTTCCGATTTTTTTTTGGTAAGCTGAGCTTTTCCTATCGTGATTGGCATAACATGAAGCAAACGTCTGTGCCTATACCAGGTTTCCGCAGAAGAATTTGATCCTCTAATTACTAATTACTTTCCGAATGATTTTCCATTTTTTTTCGGCAAGAATTTGGCCCTTCTAAATTTTCTCATCAGAAATCACCTCCCCTCGAGCACGTTCTTGCACACCCCATTAACCAGAGTACCACCCCGACCCCCTAATTATCGGATTAGCGTGGCCGCCATTAATTTCCTGGTTTGCATAGGCTGGCTTCGATAAAGCCCCTGAGGCTCTTATGCAGCTAAGAAGCCAGAAAAACAACATCCTAACAAAGTGGAAATATGGCTTCGAAGTCCTAGTTACAAATGTCGACAGGGCAGGAACAAAATATCCTTGTTTTGGAGTCTGCTTTTTGCACTTTTTAGCGGGTAGGATTGAAAAAGAACCGAATTTGCGTAAAATAAAGAATATAAGGGTCGTCAGAGATGGAAGAGGAGTAGGAAATTACACAAACATTAGCTTTTGCGTGAAAATTCTTGGATTGTAGCTCCAAATTAGCTAAAAAGCCTCATAATGCATTATAGAAAATCTGAATTCGATACAGAAAGAAAAAAGCGGGCTCAGATACCTTAAAATTTGTCATAAATAAATCAATCGTTTTTAGTCGGGTAGGCAAAAATTATTGCCAAAATGGCGAAAAAAATAATTGAAAATCACTAGAAGGTACTGCTAAAATGAACGGCTAACAAGGTGCATTTTTGAGTCATCGGCAAAACCTGACGAGATTTAGCGCATTTGATAACGAATTAAATTCTGAGCAAGACTCCGTTGCCCTTTTTTGCGGAATGGCTATCCCTGATTTTATAAAAAAAAATACTAGTGGCCGTCTCTTCCGATTAGTGCCTTTCGAGCAAAAGACAGGCTTTTGGGCGCAGTTTTAAATTTTTTAAAATCGGGATAGCCATTCCGCAAAAAACAACAGGGTCTTGTTCAGAATCGAATTCTCTATCGAATGCGCTAGGTCCGGAAGGTTTTGCCGATGACTCAAAAAAGCACTCCTTGTCAGGTCTTACAGTCAAAAATTAAAAACCATTATGCAATAAGTATCAAAGGTTTCCGAAAACCTTAAGGATACTATGACTAAATTTAAGGACACAGCTACACCAATATATTGTCCAAGCAGATTAGAACAGCAAAATCGTAGCCATAAGAGCGGGTGCAGACGAAATGGTGGTTAAGAGCAAAAAGTTAAACTAAAACCAGCAAAATAAGCAAGTAAACGAAAATTATATAGAACTTGAACTATCGGAAAAATTGAGAAGGAGCTCGAAAATCAGAGGCAAAAGGACAATAAGTTCTCGAAAAATTATGTAGTAAAAGAGAAAAGCAAGGGATTTAAAAAAAATATACTCTGCAAGAGTCCACGCCATAATTCCCACTGCCAATTTATTAAAAGAGGGTATGGGTATGCGGGTGCGCCCAGTGGCCGATGGCCCATAGGCAAGGGCCCCCCGTCTGCCCGCATTTGCATGAGAGAAGGCAAGGCGAAAGGGGGGAAGGAATCGATGTCCTAGCTGCCCAAGGCATGGGCCCTCTATTGCCTCTCCATTGGGGGCTACTCTCCCGCTTTTGCATGCGAATTTTTGAGGCGGACGGGGGCTCGGGGGCCCATTCCTGCATTTGGGATTGAAAAATGGCCTACGGGGCGGAATTGCAATAACGAAAAATTCTGCTGTATAACGAGAATTAGCATGGAATCGAGGGCAAAATTCTAGAAATCAGCGATCAGTCAAAATAAGGAATGATAGCGATACTTCTAATCCAAAGAAAATACGGAAAAATTGTTAATAAAGAGAAAAAGTGACGTGAAAGCGAGAAACTCGCGAGAAAGAGAGAACGCTAAAGAGACAGAGAGAGAACGCTAGAGAGACAGCGAGAGATAGAGATAGAGAGAGAGGAGAGAGAGAGAGAGAGAGTGAGTGAAACTTTCAGCCAAAAATCCACTCTCCAAAACGGAGCCAATTTCGTCAAAGCAAAAAAATTATAGAGGAAAAATTTTTGTATGCAATTTGGCAGAGACAAAATGACAATGGGATGGCAAGTCAAAAAAGATAAAAATAACATAAAAATAAGTTCAAAATAACCAACCCCATGGCTCTCGAAGAGTTTCCGCTTCTGGCCTCGTTGCGGTTGGGAGGCTGGCCGAGAGGTGGATGGGGATTCGGTGGTTCCGGCGGATGAGTCCTAAAAAAGGTAAATTCCAAAAACCAAAGATTACATTTATCCTTGACGTCGAGGGCGGCAGAACGGAATCCGGGGTTGTGGGATTGTAGGTGGGGAACGCGGCGAGAGCGGCTGAAAAGTAGGGTGAATATCCTGAAATTTTAAGCTAGGAAATTCACTAGCTGAAATTTCTCTCTCGCTCTCTCTCTCTCCTCATACCAACCTAATTGTTGCTGCGCCGTGTTCATCTGCTGCTGCAGCAAGACCAACATGTCCGCGCCGTCATTTGGTAGAGTCGTTTGAGCTGGCTAAAAACGATTCAAAGAATTTTACATAGCCAGAATACCAATTGCAGGGCTTGCGGCAAGGCGTGCTGAACTGGTTGAGCAAGTGGATGCTGCGCGCCAGCCAGAATTTGGGCCCAAATCTGGCTGATGTCCAGCTGGCCGGCCAGGCTGTCCTGAATCCGGAGCATCATATCTTCCGGGGTCAGCGTCGTCGTGGCTTCACTGAAAAATCATGAATTGATTTTTTTTTTTTAATTCGGGAAGTTTTAATTTTTTTTTAAAAATTTGAAAAAAAAAAAATTTTAAAATTATAAATTTAAAGGGGACAAAAACTGGCCTCAAAAACTGCCCTCGAAAATACCACGCCTACCAGCTACCGTATATTTGCGGAATTCTCATCCTCCCAAATCTACAGTACCCCCGTAGGCACTGACGCCGGATTGTCAAATTTGCTCGGATAAGCCCCTCCTCCCAAGGGGCATAGCCCAAAGACTGTAAATCTCGCTGGGAACACGGCACCAAAAATATGGCTGAATCTTGCGTTTGTTCTTCAGAAATTCGAGGTTTAATATGTAGATGGTAAAAAAGTAAATTAGAAATTATTCTCTGGGAAATTTTCAAATTTTGTGTTGTGTAACTTCTTTATGGTACGTTGGCGTCAGAGCCTACCCCCAGGGGCCCGGGGAACCCGCAAATTTGAGAATTCCTCCGCCCCGGCCTTTTATTTGGCACGGCCCCTTTAAGGACACGCAGGAATTTTTGGCATCCCGACACCATTAACAAAGGCTTATTTTTTTGCAGCGCGTTTAATCTAAAAAATTCAAATCAAGCTTTTCGCAGAAAATTATTCAAAACTTCAAAAAATGTAAGAATCCCGGTAGCGTCTATATTTTGAGGCCTAAGCAAAACTTTATAACCTTTGACGCCGCTTTTTGCAAACCTCTAAAAATTTTTTCGTAACCGCTTTTGCAATAAAAAGAGTGTTTTCATCGAATTTTGCATTACGTTATGCGCATGTGTGCCAAACATGGGACTTCTGATCCAAACGATTGCCAAGCTAACATTTTATAAATTTTTGGCCGCCACTGTAGCTGTCCAGCTGTAGCACCCGATCACAAAATGAAAAGCCGTACGTACGCGTTGCGTGTCGCGGTTTCTGGAGAATTAAGGCCAAAACAATTCTAGCTAGTTCTCGCTGCCTTTAGAAAAGAAAACTCAAAAGCTTCGCTCACCTGGCAGTCGTCACCGGCACCCTCGGCGGTCTCTCATCCATCCCATCGGAGACCGGCTGGAAAGACGGATATTGGTCGTTATTAAAACCCAATCAACTATATAATATTAAAAAGTGAAAAAATATTGGAACTCAAAGGCTTCACCCTATCGAGGAACCTCTAGGATCTTTGAAGAAACGGCAAAAATTGACTAGTTGGCTAGTTGGCCCGACTGGCCGGCGAAAAACATATTACAGGATTAGGAAGCCGTACGCGTGGTAAAGCACATTATACGCTTGGTGATTTGGAAAGCGGATGGAGGGGGAGAAACCTTTTTCCAGCCAGGGATACGGTAGGGGGGGGTTGCAAATAGAGGAGTGGCCAGCCAAAGTCACCATTATTTGCAGGTTGACGAGAAAGGGCACATTTCATGGGTGGATCTGTCGGGGGATCGACGAATTTTTGAACGGGAAATGATTTTGAGAAAGACGGTCGAACCGGAAATTACTTTTCCCCAATTTTTTTTAGCTTGGCCTGGGAGACCCTAATGAGCCCCGATCGGCGAGACGCAACGCGCACGCTGGCGTTTTCCCCCTTAATATGCTGGTACTATCTACCACCCCAAAAAATTTGCGCGTCGCGTGTCGCGGGCAACCATGTCTTCCGTTTGCTTGTCTCTATCTATCGGTCATCTAACTCCATTAGTCTTTTTCTATGGATTTTTTAGAACTGCTTTCCTCGCCGCGACACACAACGCGCACGCGAGCGTAACATTTCGCAGTTGATTCGCAATGGTTGATCGGAACACGCGTTGCGTTTCGTAACCCGGAAAAATCTACGCGGAACCTTTTGAAAAACCATAAATTCCCTTTTTGATCGGCTTTTCGTAGCCAGGATAAACAATGTGGTCCCAGATACTGTAGCCCGAACCAGAGGAATTTCCTATACCCCCAATAAGCTTTCGCCCGTTCGCGGCTACACCCCCACTTTTTAGTGAGCAGATAAAACGAAAATCCAACGACGACCCATAAAACAAACAGAATCATAAATCCGCAATTCAACATCTCAGGGTCAACCCCTTGAGGCTAAAGGATCGTTATTTAAAATTTTTTGTTTTTTTTTTTTTTTTTTTTTTTTTTTTTTTTTTTTTTTTTTTAGCGCAGGATTTCGGGTTAGAAAATGTACGTATTATTTCCAAACTCACAAAAAAAAATCCTTTAAAACCCGAAATAAGTAGAGGGAGGGGGAGAGAAAGAAAGAGAGAAAGTTTGCAAAGATGGAAAAATTTAGAAATAAGATCAAAATTGCCACAATTTAGAAATTATTGAAGCACCGGGAAATGCGCGAAATACTAAATACCGCTTAACTGAAATACGGTTTTAAAAATCACTTGGTTTTATGGCCTACTTTCAAAACTTTCAAAACTTGACCATCACCCCAAATTCCGACCGACTACTATGTACACCGGATGGGTTCGGAAATATGGAGTGGTGGCCAGGCCGGGTTGGCTAGCCGGGCGGTGGTTGTGGTCGAGAGGAAATTCTCATTAGAGCCCCCAGCCCGGCCATTTCGGCCACCACGGCCCCCGCACCACAACGAGAGATATGCATATTCCCCCAATTCGTCTCGAAATTCTCGTCCCTTACCCGGTGTCAAAAGCCTGTGTAGCGTACGTGGCTACACGCCCCTCCGATAATCCGCGCTCATCCCGGAATACTGTACCAAAATCGCTAGTTTTCCTCTTCCATTTTACGGGAAATTTGCAATCATCCATTAAGCGGATTCTGACGGTTTCCAAAATAAGGGTGAGCCGGTCGCGGTTAGGCTACAGATTTCCTGGCTACGGTGTGACAGATGATGATGACACGGTTCGCTTTGGGTGCTGTGAAATTCGTGAAATATCCTGGATTTTTGACTAGGTAACGAAGATACTTTATAATGGCATGATTTTTCTCATGTTACAAATTTTGGGCCTTTAAGGTTTTTAGAGAGTCGTAAAAGAGCCTCGTAAAATTTGTTGCTCTAATGGGTTGATCGATGCGTCAGCTTGCATTTAGATTGCGTAATCGAGACGTTTACCGCGGCTGGCAGCAAGCGTTGCGTATCGCGCGGAATTGAAGAGGGATCCGGAGCTCAAAAACCCTGGTGGCAACAACTCCAGGTACCCTCCCCCCACGCAACAGATTCAAACCTTCATATCTCGGCTCCCCATCGACCTACAGGATTGTAGTCAATACCAAAATGCTCGCCTGAGCTGGGCGGAGCTGCCAAAAAACGTCCCTTTAGCGCTCCCGATTCGTGTGGTCAGCCGGGGTTTAGCCTCCATAAAGGCAGCTTTGCTAACCCTACAAATCTTCGGGAAGCAAGCGTACGGGAGCCAATACAACAGTTTTAAGCCAATTGCCAACATTCCCCTAAACTCCACATTTTTCAAGCCAAATTTTTTTGGGTGTCGTCAGTTTAGGCCACTCCCTAAGGCTCATTATGCCTGGGCGCATATATTGATTCGTGGCGCCGCACGGCATTTGGCTAACGAAGCCCGAAAAAGCGCAACATCCAAGCGTATAGCGGGGGACTCACACAATTGGGCAAATATGGCTGTTGATTTGACAAGCCCAAAAATCGATACAATCTAGTAACATTAGATTTTGAACCATGGCTCGAAGAAAGCATTCTAAGGTTAGCTTAAAATCTGATAATTGAGTTACGATAATGTTAAATAGGGTTTTTATTACCGAGTGAGTCAGAATAGTCCATAGCTTAAGCCTAAGCTTACGCCTGAGCCTGAGACTTAAACCTGTACCTCATCCTAGTTCAAGCCCAAGTCAAAAATTCGATGCATACCAAAAATCAAAGCCCAATTGCACAACCATCGACTAACAGATGAATAATGAACACTTCATTGTCAACCCACTTCCGGAGACCGAAAACCAGAAAAATCGCACTACCAACCCCCACTGCCGTTTTTCCTGCCGACCCGCCGAGACGGATACAGGGCCCGGGGGGTTTCCGGATTGGATTAGCCGATCCCCGGATCAACACTTACTATCTACTCAAATTTCCTAACTTTTATCCCCTCCACTAGACAGATACTGGCACGATTAGTTCAGCCTTACGGCGTTCTCTGGTCGAAAAAATTCACGGGGGTGGAGAACGTGATCCGGGTCTCCAACCAGACGCTTCCGGCCGGAAGCGGCTCACAAATTGGTCGGTGTAAGGAATGGTTCTGTCGGAATGGCCTCAGATGGTCTCATAGGCCAAAAAAAAAAACCAAATTTAGGTGAATTTTGCAAATCTGCTCCTGATGATATCATCATTGAGCCGATAATGTATGGATGTTCATGCAATAATATTGGTTTTGCCGTGACAGGCTCGCCGCTCGGTTGCAATCACGCACGCTTAATTAAGTTCCTGAGCACGTGTTTCATAGTAGTTCGTAAGTACTTTAGCGCTTCCTAACTTAAAAGTCTACCAGCGTTGAAAAGCCGCTTCGCGACTTTTCAACCCTGGCCCCGTCTATCCCCATAATATTCTTCTTTCTGCATGCATCTCATCTCAATCCCGATGAGAAAAATGAAAAATGACACTCTCTACCTTATTAAATAGGCTACCGCCACTTCCGGTGCATGCTAATTGTTTCCTAACAAAGAGGTTGTCCGAGATTTTTACAAAAACTGAAATTTAATATTTAAAACAATTAATTTTGTAAAATCTGATAAGCGTGCAGTCATCCCAGAGCCATTACGCACCTAATGACGTATCATACGTGCCATAAAATTCATCCCCTATCGAGATATCCTCCGGACATGGTGACGGAAGTTGCATGCAAAGTATCACACACACACACACACACACACAAACACTATTTTTTTATATATAGTAGGATCCCGTAGCCCAGGATGGTTCAGACACTTTTCTTCTTATATCATAGGCCTCTAATATAGAATATTAAATCTAATATAAGGAATTTCTTGGAAAAAAGTTAGCCATCTTTCCCGTACCCAACTACGTAATTTGGCTAAAAAGCGTTAAGAAACTGTCGTTTTGGGTGCTTTTTGGAGTTGTGGGTTGCCATTTGGTCGATAAAGCGGAAATCCGCGAAAAGCTTAATTTTTGGCCAAAAAATGAGGAAAAACCGCCGTGTCAGAGCAAGTTCCCCGAGATCGTAGCTCCCAGAGCCATTTTTCAAGAGCTTCGATATATTAACCATTTCAACCTTCATCAAACGAGCCATGACAAATCGAAAGACTTCGAGCCGACGAGCACCTAGAAACGGCTCCTGTCTAACTTCACGATTCGCATAATGAGCCGGAAAATACGGGAAAATTCTGGCCGGCAGGTGGTGGCGACGACCCAGCCGCCGCCGCCCACGGCTCCAGGTAAAAGACTGGGCTACCGTGCCACGACCAGACCAAAAAATCAGTCGGAAAACACCCGGCTAAGCCCCGCCATACCCCATTCCCAGAATCATAAAGGTGCCAATTATCGCATTTTGAAGGCGTTTTTGTCAGCCGCTGAGTCGATGGCGGGCAGGTGGTTTGCGGGACGAATTCCGCGAAATTCCTTCACTTTTCTGGTTGTGGTGGCTTTTCGGGCGGTTCCCCAGGAGTAGGATAAGCCTCGCGTAATTCGTCCATCCCACACGGTCATGCTCACAAATACGCGTTATTCCGAGAACTATGTAAGTGGCAGGTATCGTTTTGTGAATGCTGAACTCGGGATATTTTTGAGGTGAAGTACCTGAGATCAGTGTCTGTTGGTGTCCAGGGTGGGGGTTGGGATACAGTACCCTGGATCAAGGGTCGGTCGGCTTAAGTCCCCGGTCGACTACAAGAACTTATTGGCCGCGGGAAAACGTCTGGGATATGGTAGGATTTACATTGCTCAAGCCAAAAACAGACTTTTTTGCTGCCGCCTTCCGGGCAATCCCGGGATTGGTTTTTTGGCCCTGGAAAAACCAACAACCGTACTCTTTCAAAGGATCCGGCGATTCAAAGGGCCGGATTTTCGACAATTGACTGAATGAATATTATCGCCATAAAAACATAGTATGGTTTTTGAA